GAGGGAGAAGCAGACTCCCCGCTGAGCAGGGAGTCTGATGCAGGGCTGGATCCCTGGACTCCAGGATCAGGCCCTGAGCTGAAGACAGACGCTAAATCGACTGAGCCACTCGGGTGCCCCTACACACACACAATCTAAAGATAGATAGCTTAAAATGTAAAGGCCTCTTGTTGATGCTAATCTTACACAGCTACATTATTGTTAAATAAACTTGTCAGTAATAACCAGGAAAAGTAAGGGGCTGTGGCAGAATACTAGGGTGAAAAAGAAACTTAATGATCATCCAGACCACAAACCCCTCTGTTTTATAGAAGAAACTGAGACCAGGGAAGTTATGTTCCCTTTTCATCATAGATCATGACCAATGCTAAAATCCACATCTCCTCCCTTAAGAATAATGTTCTTTTTTTTTTTTTTTTTTTCCACAGTCCTTTCCTCAGCCTCGGTGATTCCATCCTTCTGGGAAATGCTTAGAAGTCAGCAGTGTAGCTGTCATCTCTGGTTCTAGATTTCTCTTCTGTTTGTATCATTGAGAAGGAAATACAACAGAAAAGAACCGCTGGGATGAAATAGAGCTCCCATTACCAGACAGTGAAATAGTTCAGCCAGGCAGTAGCCCGGAAGAGCAGAGTGGGATCGAGGTGCTCGGAGTGTAGAACAGAGCCCCAGCCTGCCGTTGTCTGCATTATCTACTATTTGGTGCACTTTAGGAGGAGCAAATAGTCATTCTGGTTCCAAGATGTTGGGGTAAAGCAGACTGCTATCATCTTACAAACAATGGCTAGGTATTGCAAATGGAGCAACGATTTCAGAAGGGACAAAGAGGGATTTATGATGAACCCAAAGAAACTTGGGGCGCCTGGCTGGCTCAGTCGGTAAAGCATGCAATTCTTGATCTCCGGGTGGCAAGTTTAAGCCCCACATTGGGTGTAGAGATTACTTAAAAACAAAATCTTAAAAAAAAAAAAAAGAAAGAAACTTAAGCTTCACTCATTGGGCTCCTCCAGATCCTGGAAGATACCCTAGCAATTTTGTATTCATGATTTTTTTTTTCTTAAAGACATCCCTCAAATTGTAGTTTAGGTTCAACAAAACCTCTTAAGAATGGGATGTGCTAAATAGTCTAGCACCCTCTAGAAATGCCTCAAAAGTGTCAGTGACTTGCTCTACTAGCTACTCACAAGTCTGTGGCCATCCTTTATATTTATTAAATTATATCAATAAGACTAGTAGAAGTGGAAGAGATAATGGTTAAGTCTTTACAATCTAAGTAATAGACCTTCCTTTCATGCCAATATTTAGGAATTCTTTCCTCTTTGGTTCACTATTGAATTTAAACAGTTTCTATTGAATTTATATTTCTGCATAACAATTAGAACTTCAGAAGCAGTTATAAGTGAGATGTTAAATAAAACTATTTTGTATGTTTGTTGCATGTTCATGCTCTGGAAATATGCTTTAGAGGACAAAACGATGAAAATCTTGATTTCTATTTAGATGGAGATTTATCATTATTTGTGAGATATGTCCAGTATGGTTTCACTTTAAAACCACAAATAAAGTTTTAACAATCGGCATTTTTCTTGTCGAGAGGTCTGTGGTCAGACTAAACATTTCTCTGAGCCTGATTAGGTCCTGAGGTTTTTAAATTCAATATTCGGCAAATATAGAGCATTTGTTTGGCCATAAGAAATAATTAAGAAGTCCAGAGTTAATGCAACTCTCCTGAGTCTGCCTCTCTCTTCTGATGACATGATAATCGGACATAACCTCTCTGGTCTCAGGCCTTACCATATATGAGACTGGGGCAGAATGCATACAATTAATCCTTTGAGGATTTAGGTGACATTGCTCTAGGTTTTTACATTAGCAACTCCTTTGTTTGCTAGTACTCAAGTAATGGAAATTTAAATATTATTAAATGCTTTATTTCTTCTTCCTCACTCCCAACTATCCTGAATCCAGAAAAATAGACACACGGTCATTCTGTGAAGACAAAGGAACATTGAACAGTAAATTATACAACAGCCAGAACTGTCCACTGTGTATTCATTCTTGTAACGGACCGCTGGAGGGAAAATTAGCATACTTAGTTTGAATTCTTATAAAATAGAAATGGGATTGTTTTAGCAGTTTCACAGTTTGCATAGTAACCATCATACTTCATGGATGACCTCACTCGAAATAACACAAGGCTCTGAATAACGGGAAGGGGAATGTTCTATAAACAATCCAGATGGGTTAGGTACCTCCACTGACAAGATGTATTTAGTGAAGTCTAAAATCCCCTTTTCCTGTACAAACACAGTCTCACTGTAATCCCATGGACTGCATTTACTTTCTTAGGGCTGAACTCTCTTTTTTCCAATGATAGGCCTAAAACAAAATATGCAGAAGTCATTGAGTCGTTTCTGTAGCATTTTCATTGCTAAAAGGGATCTCCAGAGGTCACCTCGTTCATCCCCTTCTCCAGCCAGGACTCTCCCTAATACTGAATATAGCTGTATAGTGATCTGCATTAAGAAAGCTTTTAAAGATCCCTGGGGCTGGTCAAAAAATAGCTAATATTGGCCTGATTCATAGAACAACATTATACGTATGTCAAAATAGCCACCTTCATCAAGGAAGACATCCATCAGGGTTAAGGGCTAGCAGTAGCTTCAAAAGGAAAAGCTTTATTTTCTCAGAGAAAAGGATGGTAGATTAAGGAAATGACCCAGGGTGTTAGCATCTTGTTTGTTTGTTTGTTTGTTTAGGTGTACATGGAATGCTTATCAAAAAGGAAACATTGTCTTGTCAAAGACCACTGCAGGGGAAACAAGCAAGCAGATGACAACTCCTGTAACAAGTCCTTTCAAATAGCTGGGGGTGGGGGGTGGGGTGCTGTTGTTTTCAAACCAGATCTGATTAGCATCAAGTCCATGAAGGGCAGATGGTGAAACATAAGCATGATATTGACAACCTGAAACTGCTACTACAACTGGAATTTAAATAAAAACCTTAAAGAGTGCAACTGTGAAAAACAAACAAACAAGAATAATATTGACAGACCTGCTCTTTAAGTGGTATCTCTTCCCCCTAATCTGCTGAGTTTGTTAGAGCTTATAATTTTATTTCTCCAACTCCATTAAACTGTGATTGCAAAGGACAGGAATTTAAGTGTAATTTCAATCTTCTAAGACAGTCATATCAGGGATAGTAATCCTCCACAACTGTTAGACTTTGAATAATTGGATTTAAAGCACTACACTAGAATCTAGAAATCTAGCCGAAAGGAGAGCTGAGGTTCGTATCTGGATTGTTTGGGACTTGAAGACTTTTGGTTGAACTATAGAGAGATTTTAAAGATACAGCTATGGCTATTCCTAAAGTGAGGGAAATGAACTGCCCTGACAACTGTCCCAAGTATCCACTTGGTTTTGTGTATTAATGCTGCATTTTTTCACATAGTGTATCTGTAAGGTTGCATAAAAGCCTGGTCAACCACGCATGCTTTCAGGGTTAGGAGCTGGGAGGCTGGATGGAAACAAGCTTAGAGGCTTTTTACCACATACCCTCTTGCCATCCATCAAATTTTGTGCTTTGAAACTTCTTTCAAAGAAGTCACTTCAAAGTATTTCATTTTTAAAAACAGAAAGGTACCTCTCTGCTCTCTTATTAGGCCGGATGTCAGTCTGGGTTGCAGGAAGTGGAAAGCTCTGACTACTGGCCTCTGCCAGCCTCCTTTGTAATTCTTGACTTTGGAAATGGGAAGTCCGCCATTGAGAACTTTCTGAGGTGCAGCTGCCTTTCTCAGAGAACACTAACCAACTAGCAAAATCTTCAGGTTGCCTTTTCTTGTTGTGAGAGCAAGAGGCAAAAGAATAAGGAGATCTCGCTACAGTGTCTTCTTGGCTTTACAACATTCCCACAGTGGACACCTAAACTTTGAGTTAATGTGCAGTCTACATATTCACCGAAAAACTCAGGCACTTAAAATAAGTACAGTACCTCCTTAGTTACTTGACTATTTGGCAGAGTAGTTTTTCTTCTCCCTTAAACTGCTCAGATAATTGTCCGTTACCTCTTGTTTGTGTATGCAACCTGTCAGATGTGTTAGTTTTTAAAGTTATCAATCTAAACAAATTCCCAGAGCAGAATCAAGAAATTACAAATAGAAGAAACCAAACTAGCTTTTAAGAAAGATAATGAAAATGAAAGGAGTGTAAGGAAAAACAGAGAGTAGCAGATTCTGTAATTTTTATTACAAAAAAAAAGTTCAAACCCTTTACATGCTATGACATTAAATGTCATATAGAAGTTCATTGCAAGCAAACCTTTTTAAAAATATACATACTGTATATATTTACATTCCAGTCTAAGTAACTGGTGTCAAGGTGTAGTTCAGGTTCTAGTGTTCACCCACCCTGTGGATTCGTTCAGCTACTAACTAGACAGCGATTGTATCTTCACTCAGGCACATAAAGAGGTAGAAACTGCTTTTAAAAAAGAAAAAAACGAAGTGGAGTGCAAATGTGAAGATCATCACTGAAGCAGCTTAGCTACATCAAGAAGGCCCTAACTAGCTTTGGTCATCTCAAGCTGAATACATGTAGCTGGTCCTTTAACTTGAAATCAGAAAAACTTTGGGTAGATGTTCTTCTGAGCACACCGGGGGTTGGCAGAGATCAGCAATAACGCTGTGCCACTCTGCACCAAAGAATTGCATATGACTAAGTTAGACAACATAGCAGCAGGGATGGGCTGGCAGTTGGGCACCTTTTCCCTGGTAAGACACAAATAATACACAGAGGAGTAGCTTAAGGGACCTCAAATTGGTATCTGTACGCCTACAGCCTGGAACTCAGAAGCCCACTAACATACTCCTTTCCCAAGTGAAACCTCTGGTAATTTCTGCCCATGCCCACCTCCATCCCAAACTGAGCTTAGTAGAGTCCAGACAGGGGTGAGGCGGCCTATGACTTCGGCGGGCCAAGGTTTCTCAGTCTCAAGACTAAACCTCATGAGGGCTCTTGGGCCTGAGAAGGGCTCCCTGGCTTCTTGCCAGACTTGATGGTGCTCGTTCCTGAGAGGGGGAGTTGGAGGGAAGCCACAGGGGTGGCGGAGGGCAGAAGCCCTTCTCGTTCTCTTTTCTTCTGTTTCATCCTGCGGTTCTGGAACCAGATTTTGACTTGGGTATCATTCAGCTGCAAGGAGTTGGCTATCTCGACGCGTCGGGCTCGAGTTAAGTACTTATTGAAATGAAACTCCTTCTCCAGTTCTGTCAGTTGCTTGGTGCTGAAATTCGTGCGGATCGCGCTGGAGGGGCTAGCGGCTCCATACTCGGCGAGTTTGCCTGCAAAGTACAGACAGGGAAGGGGGGGGGTGCGGTGAGAGGACGCGGACACAGAACGCGGGCGACCGGCTGGTTAGTTACAGCGCACTTCTCCTGGGGCTCCCAGAACCCAGCAGAAACGCTCCACGGAGAGCTCCTTCCTGAAATTTCCTCAGTGCCTGGCCCGTTTTCGAAGCGTCTACTTGGGGCACGCTCTAGGGAACGCGCCTACTTATAACGCCTCGGAACGCACTTCCCGCATAAGCCCTAAATCGCCGTCCAGAGGGGCAGCTGCCACGCGCTCCCGGCGTAATTCTGCCGAGGGGGGGCTCCGATCCCAAGCCCAGCATAGCGTCCGTCCGAGGCCCCAGTACTTACTTTTCCTAGGGGCGTTCCTCTTCACTTTCATCCACTCGAAGGTGCTGAAGGCGGCGGGGAGGCCGGAGGCTGGCGAGGCCGACTTGGGGTAGGCACCGGGGGCCGGGGACGCGGTCTGGAAGGTCCCAGGGTGGCCGTCGGCTGGCTCTTTCAGACACGCCGGCAAGGGGCCGGGCTCGCCAAAGGCCGCGTAGTCCACCTGGCCGCTGAGGAGAAAGGAGCCGCCGCCCGAGAAGACCGCTGAGGTCGCGTAGTGGACGTGCGCCCCGCCGTCGTCGGCCGGCCGCCCGAGCGCGCACGGGAAGTCGTAGGCGGACGCCGGCCCCAGGAAGCCGTAGTCTGCACCCCCTGCCGCGGCAGGTGCGGCGCCCGGCTCGTAGGCACCCTCCAGGGTGCAGGGAGCGAAGGAGGGCGCGGCCGGGGGCGGCGCGGGAGGCTGCGCGGGCGCGGCTGGGGGCAAAGGCGCAGGGCGCGCGGCAGCCAGGGGCAGGCAGCTGACGAAGGCGCCGTCGCCGCTGCCCAAGGGGAAGGCGGGCTGCAGGGCCACGGGCCGGGCGTCGGCGCGGCAGAACTTGGGCGTGAAGCTGAGCACGTCGCCGCCGCCCCCGCCGCTACCACACGACACGTACTCCAGGTAGGAGCTCATGGTTCCGGCCCACGCGCCTGAGCGCGCAGGCCGGGGCCGGAGTGCGGGGCCGGGCAGGACGGTCGCGGGCTGCGCCGCTCCACCTTTTCCTCTCTACCGGAGCTGCCTTCGCCGAGCCATGGCGAGCGAGCCCGAGGTAAATAGTGGCCTAATATAGCGGCGGGGGTGGCCACGTGGCGCTGGCCGGCCAATGGGCGCCTGCCCCGCACGGCCGGGGTCCCGACTGGCGCGCGGCTCCACGCGCCTGCCCCGCCGCCAACTTTGCCAAACCTGCGGGTGGCCGCCGTCCAGCACCCCGCCCCTCCCCGGCCCGGGAGAGAGCCGGCGCGGCCCACGGGCGGCCTGGGGAAGGGCGGGGCGAGAGCGCAGGACGCCTGCCGCCCGGGCAGGTACTGGACGAAGCAGGAGGAGAAAGGCAAGACTGGCCGCTCGCGTGAGGACAGAGGGAGAGAAGCTTGTTCTTCTGAATCGGTGGGTGGCTGACCCCTCGGTTGCGGATTGTGGGCACTAAGGTGGGGAAGGGGTTAAAAAGGAGCGTGGACTTCAGCCCGTGGGGACTGCTCATAGCCTTTTCCCCGGGAAGGTAAAGTATTCCTCTCCCCCTCTACGCTGAGTCCTGTGCGCTTTCGGTTTTCCTGGCACTGGTGTTACCTCTCTCCTAAACCTAGAGTACAGGCTTAATTGTCCCTCGTTTTCTCCCTGCCTCCGATTCATGGGACGAAATTGTATGCCCTGGGTTCTGTGTTCCTGGGGCGGCACAAAATCGTCACCTTTAGATTTTCACGTTACTTCGCAGCATCCCTTCAGTTCGCGTTCCTTCCATGTGTGGCGGCGTGATAAGGGTGCGTGTTGGGACGCCAGGTTTTGATTTGGACAAAAGACGAGGTTTCTGCCTTGTGGGGAAATTTACCGGATCTCCCCCTCTAACTAGGCTGTCCAACTAAAGACTCTGCCCTTGTGGTGGAACGCCAGTACTCCTCTCGGGGAGGCTGGCACCCGCACCGGGGCTGGGGCGGCGCACGTTCTCTCTGAGGCGCTTGGCTCCAGGGCGCAAAGGCTTCCCAGGGACCGGTCAGATCTCAGAGGTTTGGACGGGCTTGTACCTCGAAGCAATTAAAGCTTCTATTCCATCAGATAAGTGCTGCGTCGTCTCTTGCGAGTGAAATCTGAGGGTTCACAATGTTAATGGGCTCACGTCCTTCCCTTGATAATATGGTTTTGTTTACTGAGCGTAGAGAGACGGGAAATAAAAGTGCAACTGGCACAGGAAATGAAGAGAAGGGTTACAAAGACAAGCTTTACATTGACAAACTTTCCACCTTCCTTGAACATTTCTTGTAATGTTTTTCTCTTTGGGGCTGTAGGAAAATAACAAATTAAATGAATAAATGTTATTTACACACAGCAGTCATGAAAGAGAGTGGTTTCCTAAAACTGTGTGAATTGGGTCTACTCTTGGCTTATTCAAGTGCCCTTGAGAATTTGATCTATTATAGCCTCTTAGTTATGGTGACAGGGGTTTTATTATTGTTTTACTGATCCACTTGTCATGAAAGAGCGATTGAGTCCTTGCCTAAAATTCCGCTCTGAGGAAGCCTGGAAAGTAGGAGCCATCACAGTCCAGGGAGTCAGTCCCTTACTGGGATGTGAACTTGTGAATAAACAAAGCCACACCAAACGTGTTGCTGGTGAAACTGAAGTTGAGCCAAGGTGGGGAGGGGGTAGGTGGAGAGTACACACCTAGGAATGAGCACAGAGCTAACAGGTCTGGGGTTCCTACCCTGCTAGATTTCTTGGACTTGATTGGGAAATAGAATCCTGTGCTGAAAATCGCCCTTCAAACTTGATGTTGCTACTTCAGTTTTCTCCTATAGCCAATCAGATGACAAAGGTCTTAAGTAGTCTTTTAAAAGAGAAAAATAGAAGCTCTTTTTTAGCTCCCTGATCAGAAAATGATAGAGCTCTTCAGAGCTAGCTCAGGCTTTATATGTAGAACTATTTCCTCGCTGTCCCTCACTCTCTGCTCTTAGTACAAAAATCTCAGCAACTCAGATGCTGCTGAGGTCACATAACACTTCACTCACCCCTGCCTAGACTTTAATAGCCGATTTTTACCAGCATGATGACCCAGTGTGCACACTCCTATCTCAAAACTGTAAGTCTTTCTCTCAAAAGGTACTTGTTTAATCACAGCTCCTAGGCCCAGAGGCCCCAGCAAGTCAGGAAGGAGGATGGCCTTGTAAACCTCTCTGGAGAAGACATCCAGCTGGCTGCAACTCACGATGTAGGACAGAAAATCCGGCCTGATCGTCTGGCAAGTCTGACCAAAACCTATCATATTAGGCACCTTTGCTCTAAGGTTTCAGGAAAAACAGGCAGCCTAGGTGCCTTGGCAAACTTCATTGCAACAGGGACTAGGTTTCTGCTGCTAAGCATTGGGAGCAAAGGTTGGGTCCTTGCTGTCACAATTAAGCATTGACTTTGATGTACCCATAAGCTGTCCACACTATTTCCCTGAAGCAAAATTTTAGAGATTGAACTTTTTTTTTAAAACGATTTTATTTATTTATTTGACAGAGAGATAGAGAGAGCACAAGTAGGCAGAGCGGCAGGCAGAGAGAGAGGGAGAAGCAGGCTCTCCGCTGAGCAGGGAGCCCGATGCAGGGCTTGATCCCAGGACCCCGGGATCATGACCTGAGCCAAGGGCAGACGCTTAACCGACTGAGCCACCCAGGCGCCCTAGAGATTGAACTTTTGCGGATGGAAGAAAATGTCCTAAAAGAGAATGAGATTTTTTTTTTTTAATTGCATTGTTTTGTTTTCAAAACTATAGGTGAGAGTGGGTGGGTGAGGTATTCAATATTTGTTCAAGACCCAATTGTAGTTCGCTGATACTTGCTTACAGAAAGCTACATTCTGTCCACCCTCTCTACTCCCTTTAGTCTCTCAGGTTTTGGCATATCCTATACCGTGGGGCCCAGAATTGCCACCTCCATTCCTGGACTGGTTCTTGACTTGCTTAGATTGGAGTCAAGACTCTGGTTATCTCAGACTCAGATTCAACATTTGCCAAGGACCTACTGTGTACGAATGTTTTGTTAGGGGAGGTCTAGGCTGCAAAAAAAGATATTCTCAAGCCAAAGGAACAGGAGATTCATTACTGGCAGAAGTCTCAGCTATACTATAAATCTACTCCAGAAGAATCTGAATCTATAATTTTCTAAAGAGAGATTGGAAGATATTATTGGAGGAAATGTATGTAGAAAATGTGAACATAGGATACTGTAAGTACCTTTAAAGTTTGTCTCCTAGATGTTCACAGGGTATGAGAGAAATGTCTTACTAATTTTATTACTTGTTCAAGTCATGAATTCCCAGGGGTCACTTGCCCTGCTAGGTCCTGGTGCTGTGAGTTCTCAGCAGGAGGTGACAGCAGAGGGGCCTGATGGCCAGGTTGTGTTTGATGTAGGAATGCTTTGAAATCTCTCCCATACTGCTAACCAAGGCAGCCACCCCCCACCCCCACCCCCATGACAACCTTTGTCTCCCATTCGAGCTATAAGCTTTTTTTCCTGCAGACAGAAGACAGAAGTGATGGAGGGTGGCACTCTGGACTTCTGTGTGTTTACAGTTGTTCCTAAGAAGTCTCTTGCAACCCCTCTCCACAAGCCTCATCATGTTAACCCTTGGAGATGCTTTGAGACATGCAAACTCTTGGCTCCACAGCCCCAAAGGATAGAAAGGTTCTTGCTTGTTGGGGTGAAAAGCAGAGGGGGAGGTGGGCTTTTCTCTTAAGCAAGATTTGTAGTTCTCTGCAGCAGCCCTCAGTCTTCCATGGGAAGTGAGGGTGAAAGGGATCCTAAGGACAAGAATTCTAAACCTGTCAGAAGCTTGTTAACATGACCCTCCCTGAGGAAAAAGTTTAGAGTGCTGTGCCTTTCCCTGAGAGCTTTGTGAATGAAAGGCTCATGGGTCAAGCCCTTGCCTGGCACACAGTAAACATCCAAGAAATGTTTGTTGGACAGAGGTAAAAATGGACAGAATGGTGGGTTGTTGTTTTTTTTTAAGATTTGATTTATTTGACAGACACAGCCAGAGAGGGAACACAAGCAGGGGGAGTGGGAGAGGGAGAAGCAGGCTTCCCGTGGAGCAGGGAGCCTGATGCATGCGGGGCTCCATCCCAGGACCCTGGGATCATGACCTGAGCTGAAGGCAGACGCTTAACGACTGAGCCACCCAGGCACCCCAAGAATGGTGTGTTTTACCATGATTAATATTGGCTAAAGGATACCCCTAGATTATTGGCTCCCAAAACCACTTCATGTGGGTAGGAATCATCATAGAAGCTTCTTTAAAAGTGCAGGTTCCTGAGCCCACCCAAGAGATTTTAATCCAATATATCTGACTCCGGTAGGAGTTTTAATAAGCCTCTTGGGTGATTCTAAAGCAAGGTTCTTTGGAACCATACTTTGAGAATTTCTGCTTCAGGAGCTGGTTTGGGGTGGGCAATGTAGGGAGAGAGGGGTGGTTCTGTGGGAGGGGCCCTTTACTGGCACCATGAGAGCTCATGGCTAACTGGAACATGAGTAAACCCGAACAATGTTCAGAAGCCTGTTGTGTGGTAGGGGCAGAGAATGTTAAAGCCAAACCTGAGTCTAGTTGGGGTGAAGTTTCCTAAATATCCTTAAGTCGGAGTTTCCCAAGTTTTGCTGACAAAATAGTGCTTTGCTGAGACCCGGCTTCTGCTCCTTGCCACTTTCCTAACTTGGCTTTGTGGATGCTAGCAAGGTAGGAAGCGAAAGGGTTTTGTCTCTCCCAGTCTCCTCAGAGAAACTTGAGTGGTTTTGAAGTAATGGAAAGAAGGAAGGAGTAAGAATGGGTCTCAAGAGGGAGGAGCCAACTCTTCTTTCCTTCCACCTTTCCCAAATTGTCTGGAATGAGCATTTGAGCTCCTGGGATCCAGAGGGGATGAAATGTCTGTTGGCCTAAGCTGTAACTAACTCTTCCTTTGGTTAAAGATGGACCTTTCATATCATAAAATGTCAATGCAAGAAGGCTCCTTAGAGATAAGTGACATTGAACCCCTCATTTTAGAAAGGAAGTCACCGTATTTAAAGGTTAAAAGA